ACTTGGCTCTCTTTCTCTCATTGGCCTGGTCGCACCGCTCCTCCCAGGGCACAGTCAGCTCGATGACTATAATCTGCCTGGATTCGGCAGACCATATCACCACATCCGGACGTAGCGTTGTCTGTACGACGTCCGGAAACACCAATTTCTTCCCCAGGTCAACTCTCATCTCCCATGTCTCTGCCCCTTCCAGAATGCCAGTGTTGCCTGATGTTGCTTTCGTCTCCTTCTCCCCTGCTTTTACAAACCGGATGAAGGATGGTTTGTGCTTACGAGGTGGTCTCTTCTTCTTCCTTTCCACCTCGAGAACATCTGCCAATTCCCGAAGCACCTGGTCATGTCTCCACCGGTATCGTCCCTGTGTTAGCGCTGTCTTGCATGCCGAAAGGATATGGCCCATGGTCCCACGTTCTTGACATAGCTGACACTTTGGCTCTTCGACTAGTCCCCACAGATGAAGGTTCGCTGGCGATGGTAAAGTGTTGTATACCGACCGCAACAGGAACTGGATCCTCAATGGTTCATAGCGCCACAGGTCTGTCCATGTAAGTTTTCGCTCCGGCAGCTTCCATTTCGTCCATGCTCCTTGAGAGCCCATTTCCACTGCCCTTGCTTTCCTGGTCCCTTCTTCTTCTCTGCGGATTTCTCCCTGTACCAGAGATCTTTTCTCCTTATCATCTGATCCTTCCCACGTCTGAAAATGGGTTGTCCCCAACCCTTGCCGGCCTGAGCAGGTTGCTCCGACGATGTCCCGGTGCTTGAGAGCGCCCTCGGCCTGCTCCACAGACTAGCTTGCAGACCATTTCCTTCCTGTCCTAGTCTGGATTCCTGCATTTCTTATCTTCACGTCCTTTGAATCTCGCAGCGTCATTAATTAGAACAAAATGTTGCGATGCATTTTACAGAAATATCTTTGTTCAAAATTAAGATGTTTGAAAATAGGAATAAACAAAACAAAAACCGGAAAAAAACTTCAGGGGTCGTTATCAGAAGCTTTCCATTGCAAAACGATCATTTTACTTGTAAAGGTTGTCATTCAGGAATCATAAATGCACAACATTACAATGAATGTCCAATTAATGGGCTGCAATGAATGTCCAATTGATGGGCTGCAATGAATGTCCGATTAATGGGCTGCAATGAGTGTCCAATTAATGGGCTGCAATGAATGTCCGATTAATGGGCGGTAATGAGTGTCCAATTAATGGGCTGCAATGAATGTCCAATTAATGGACTGCAATGAATGTCCAATTAATGGGCTGCAATGAGTGTCCAATTAATGGGCTGCAAAGCAATGAAAGAATTATGAGCTGCAGAAGAAACATAACCAGAGAGGGATATAAAACAATCCAATCCTTTCGCACTTTTTCTTCACCTCCTGCGTTTATAGAGAAAAGAGAATCCCCCAGGTCAAAGCTAGTCTCAGCGGAAGCATTGTTCCCGATGATAGCTGATGTAGTGGTACACACACCATTTTTCGACAGGTTAACATTATGTGTAAATTGCTGTTGAGTGTTCAACAATAAAATTCACATTTATAAGTTAAATGACAGCATTCAATGACAATCGATCAAATATGTTTTCGTATGTGTGAAACGATTCTAGGCATTAAACAAATTAATAGTGACCTTGAAAAAAGGAAACTAAACTTTCTACAGTGTCTAATTAGTAGCTCGCCAAATAGTACAGCAAAGGATATCTTCATTCGTAGACTCTTGAAATTCTTAGAACAAGATGAAAGATTGAAGAAACAGGGAGGATTCGTGCCAGATATAGTTGAAATTCTTCAAAAATACAAATGAACATCGTATATATGTCAATATGCTGAAGATGGAAACTGTCCAGCACGACGCGAGTGGAAATACATCGTGAAAGCAGCGATGGATATACGCAAAAACACACTACTGAAAGCAAGAATGAACAGTGATTGTGATTTTAGTCGTTTTAAAAATATATATTTGACATATAGTGAACCGTATAATTTGTTAAAGCTGCAAAACACGGACAAGAAAGTAAAATTATATATTTGCAAAATGATAACCTGCCCACCAGTAGAACATAATAAAATATGTAGCAAGTGCAGGACTGTAATGTGACATTCATTTTAAGGGACACCTTCATGGACAAATACACTATATATGTACTATGGTGTTCAACCGTATCTGCTATTGTCTCAAATGGCAGAGGAGGAATGTGTAGTAACTCTATTCAAAGGGACCATAGACACTCATGATTTTGATAACAAAACTGTGTGCTGCGAATTTGCGCAGTACAGTGCTTATTTCCTTTGGAAAGCAGCACAGATATATTTCAACGCTGCAGACCTAGTATAATGTACACCAGATTGAATGTAAGGGTGAATACACCCCCCCCCCCCCCCCCCGCAAAGAACAATAATACAGTGAACGATAAAGAAAAATGTATTAATTGCAATTTTTACATTGTATTATTTTCCTATTCATATTTTGTATTATACACTCTCATTTATGAGGAATAAAAGAGTGATGAAAGAGTGATGTGCTGGTAAACAAACAATCACTGGTTCGGTTTTATTTTGTTTAACTTCCTATCATCAGTTATGGCGACTTAGTGACGTTACAGCAAAGACTAGCACATCGATTTGACTCTATATAACAATAAACTTGTAATACATATAGTTTCGTATTCATTTCTTGCAGTGAATGTCTTAAAACATTATTGTTTTTACACAATTCAAACTCCATAAACATTCATACAAGGCACGTTTGATACGTTCATTGTTTGTGGATAAAGTAAAACTTTGATATAAAATATTTTAAAACTGATGACTTTTATTGAAGAATACAATTCCCATCCCATTGGAGGTTATACCCCATTTTCACATGGTATATTACACGTGTAGAATACAATGTTCCTCAGTACGACACATGGAAATTGTCTGTATCCCTTAAGTTTTAGTTCACTCGTATGGGTCATTGCTAATCTCTATAGTAACATGTAGATTTACATGTATGCGGGGGGAAAGTCATAGTCCATATGAATGTAGCAAAACTTGCACCATAATAGTGATGTACACGTGTCTGTAGTAAGACTTGCACCACAATAGTGATTTACATGTGCCTGTAGTAAAACTTGCACCATAATAGTGATTTACACGTGTCTGTAGTCAAACTTGCACCACAATAGTGATTTAAACGTGTCTGTAGTAAACCTTCCATCACAATAGTGATTTACACGTGTTTGTAGTAAAACTTGCACCACAATAGAGATTTACACGTGTCTGTAGTAAAACTTGCCCCACAATAGTGATTTACACGTGTCTGTAGTCAAACTTGCACCACAATAGTGATTTAAACGTGTCTGTAGTAAATCTTCCATCACAATAGTGATTTACACGTGTTTGTAGTAAAACTTGCACCACAATAGAGATTTACACGTGTCTGTAGTAAAACTTGCGCCACACTAGTGATTTACACGTGTGTGTAGTAAAACTTGCACCACAATAGAGATTTACACGTGTCTGTAGTAAAACTTGGACCACTATAGTGATTTACACGTGTCTGTAGTAAATCTTCCATCACAATAGTGATTTACACGTGTCTGTAGTAAATCTTCCATCACAATAGTGATTTACACGTGTTTGTAGTAAAACTTGCACCACAATAGAGATTTACACGTGTCTGTAGTAAAACTTGGACCACTATAGTGATTTACACGTGTCTGTAGTAAATCTTCCATCACAATAGTGATTTACACGTGTTTGTAGTAAAACTTGCACCACAATAGTGATTTATATGTGTGTGTAGTAAAACTTGCACCACAATAGAGATTTACACGTGTCTGTAGTAAAACTTGTACCGCAATAGTGATGTACACGTGTCTGTAGGAAAACTTGCATCACAATAGTGATTTACACGAGTCTGTAGTAAAACTTGCACCACAATAGTGATGTACACGTGTCTGTAGGAAAACTTGCATCACAATAGTGATTTACAAGTGTCTGTAGTAAAACTTGCACCACAATAGAGATTTACACGTGTCTGTAGTAAAACTTGTACCACAATAGTGATGTACACGTGTCCGTAGTAAAACTTGCACCACAATAGTGATTTATATGTGTGTGTAGTAAAACTTGCACCACAATAGTGATGTACACGTGTCTGTAGTAAAACTTGCGCCACACTAGTGATTTACACGTGTGTGTAGTAAAACTTGCACCACAATAGAGATTTACACGTGTCTGTAGTAAAACTTGGACCACTATAGTGATTTACACGTGTCTGTAGTCAAACTTGCACCACAATAGTGATTTACACGTGTCTGTAGTAAAACTTAAGTAATATTTTACGTGAAAAAAGTAAAGTTTTTGACACAATAGTAATATTTCACATGCTTATAAAAATGCAATTGTGTAATTATAGGAATATTTCAAATTTTTGTTAATATACAAAATTGTGTCATTAAAGTTATATTTCACATGTTTATAAAAAAGGCAAAAAGCAATTGTGTCACTGAAGTAAAATTTTCACAAACATTTATTAGAAGTTTTGTACATGTAAGCAATATTTCACATATTTGTAATTAACACCTGTCCTATAATTAATTGAAAGCAAACGTAATAATGCGAGTTTTAGGTTATACTTTATAGTCGATGTCGCATCGCGATAGTTGAAGATTCTTGCGTACGGTTTTATATAAGGAATACAAATTATTTTTCTTTTCAACATTCATGTGGTCAAAATAAAACTGGACATATTCCATGAATCGCGATAGAAAACAATCACAAATATAGTTCTATTTTCCAAATTCGATTAGTAGGATTTATACAAGTCGTATATTATCATCGTATTCTTTACACACTTTATCATAGCTTTATAATAGAGCCAATCATGTTTAATGTCAATTCATATTAGCATAACAAAACTACATGTTCACGACCGACGTGAACCAAGTACGCCCTGTTCTACGTCATTATAGTGTATCAATACGCAGTGATGAGGTCACCTGTGTTATACAAAAATGAATGTCATTTTCGTCAATGGGTCAAGCATACAGAATGTCCACATTTTGTACCGACATGACATATTTATCACTTTCAATTCCTATGTACCCGAAACACACAGTTCCGAAATGAAGACATCACCCCACATATCAGCGTACAATACTACATAATAATTGAAAAACAGGATTAAATTATGAGGAAAATATTCTGCAATGAGGTTCATGACCAATATGTTGTAATATATTACGCTTGAGACGCTGACACCATAGAAGTTCTGGTACAGCCTAGTAAAACGTGTTCACCAGAAATATTCCCATAAAATACAGACATCGTGTGAATGATAAGTTGATGATACAGGATAGACGTGGAAGCTTAATAGGAACATGATTGAGTTAAAGGTTTTATGACAACGAAATGAACTTCAAAAATATCTCTCAATCAAAAATCTACTCGAAATAAATCGGTTTATGTAATACAAAATATTCGTTACACAAGTACACTGTCTATACTAGATTTTTTTCCAAAGCATTATAGACTATGTAGGATGTAGAAGAGGAACTCTTTTCCAACAGGCATTTTTATGGTCCCATCCTACCCTGTTTAGACAGACTATACTAAATCCATTGGGCAATTTTAAAACTATTTATTGCATTACAGTTTATAACAAATATTCACAGAAAACTCCCTAGAGTTTAAACTTAATCTTTTTCTCATTTACATATCAAATAAAATTAACGCAAGTTAACACATCCATTATTATCAACAGTTATACACTAATAAATGATGATTCTGGTGCAAACATATCGCGCAAGTTTTTTTTGTCAGTTTTTGATTTCTCCGTGGGAAAATTATTGTTTGAATATTACCTGAAACTAATGAGTAGATGGTAGACCGAGGAAAACATCACCTTACTTCACAAATGAAATATCTGTTCGTGTTACACTTTACGTCGTAAAGTTTAGAACCGGCTCCGAAAATTGCACAATTTTCAGTTGTTCCTCCATCTGGCTCGTTAGGACCAAATAATGTCATATCTACGTCACTGCCGTCAGAGAAGATCCAGGAACCCTCCGTGACAAGATCGGACGCATCTGTGTAAAATTGCCCAGTAGATAGGTAGATAGACAAAACGTTCATCCTTTCTGTGTTATTAACTTTTAAAAGTCCCGACCCTAAGCCAGAACAATGAAGTAACGCTTCATCGTAATTCTTATTTTGCGAAAATACTTGATACATCATTTGTGTGCCTTGGTCATAGGTGAATCCGTCTTTGCAACAAACCAAAGAGGCATCAGTCCATTCTAGAGAAGAATTGCACGTGATGTCACTCGAACCAATGGAATAATATCCGTTATTACACGAATATGTTGCTATCGCAGATATGGAGTAGCTATTAGCGTTCACAGCTGCATTCGTGATAGACACAGGTTGTCCACATAATCCGGCCATGCAGACTAAAACACCACTGGATAAAGCAGCACAGAAGGATCCGTTTCCACACTGGTGGTTCCTACACAAGTAAGACGTATCCAGATTTGATGCAATTTCACTGCGTAATTTTACAACAAAATTCGAGGCCCCTGCGGCTACAGCGGAATCACTGCTCGTCACTGTATAACATGCTAAATTATTAACATTGTACACCATTAGCTGGCAGTTTTTATCGGAGAAACATTCCCGTTCACACTGTTGTAGGCCGAGAGGTGATTTCGGTTCCTCGTTTGCCAGATCAAAAGCCACTAGTTGAGTTTTCGGTCTACAGTTTCCCTTAGACAAATTTACAAGACACGTGACAATAATCCCTGTTATCAATATAAGTATTAACTCATTCTTTTGGTACTTCATCATGGAGCCTAGAAACACCTGTCTGGTCGACCTTAATTATTTGGATATAGGTAATAGGCTACGTAACACTGGTCCGATACCCATACACGATTGCACTTAAATGTATAATTGGTCTTACATGTATGGTGTTCATTGATCATACAACGTGCACTGAAGTCGGAATGAAAGAGAGCAGATCGGCTGCTGCGTTATATCGGAAAACGGTTCATTAGTAAGTATGTAATACGCATGCGCTTGTTAATCGATAACTACAGTGCATGGATTTAGTGACATTTTGATATCGCCCCCAATATCAGCCTGAGAGTCCTGATATGGGGTGTGATATCAAAATGGTCATATCATAAAATTTTTATCATATGTTTTTTTTCCTTTAAAATAAACAAAACATACACAAACAAATCATTTCGTTATTTTATTTACTGATATTCATAAAAATGATAACAAAAAGAATGATGTATATAAACAAAACAGTAACAACTATCATAAAAAGTCAACATTTAGAAATTCCTAAATTCCTACAAAATAACATGGTTATTTATAGTTTTAACAATATAACACGATGGATCTGGTTGGAATTCAATTTAATCATTGTCTGAATCGATCATCAACACAATACAATTTTCAATATCCATTGGGCATTCCTCACTTAATGATTACAGTAATACTCACTAGAACCAACAGCTACCAAGCTTATAGAACTATTTATTATTCATTTGAATACTGTCTAAACCAAGCGCCCCTTTTTCATACAGGATTGACACTTCTTCCTTTTTTAGTGAATCAGCAGCATTTAGGTGGTTTCCTTTGCCTTGAGTCTTCAAATTCTTCATTTTGGCACTTAGCACATCACGAGAATGTTTGAATTTAATATCGGTCAAAATATTGACGTCGTAGTGCTTCTCCTGTAGGTAACGGTAAATGCTGGATTGTAAACACCTCAGACCTGATGGTTCGTACTCAGATTTATCGTTTTTTCTGACGTTCATGAAAAACCTGGGCATGTAATCCGCCAACTGAAACGAGTCAATAGAATCTGGAGATCTCCACTCATTTTGAGACATCAGATATTCCGTGAAAATTTTGATGACGGATTGCGTTTTTCTCGCAGTATTCTTGTTCTCATGGAAGATGAGGAAATGTATCCTTGTTCCTTCTTGTTCCACGAAAGCTTCGGTATCATTAACTAGCATTATTAAATCGGCCCCCTGCATCCATTACATGTTTCGTCTCCTTTTCCAGGATTAATTCATCTAGTTCAACAATCCTTGCTGCCAGTTCCTCTAAAATGTCCTCGTCAGTACTAGCTATAGTCGCCATCGTTTTTTTTTGTCTACGCAGACGACAGGTGTATCACTAATAAGCAAATCCAAATACGGAAGCGGCGTCATCCGGAAATTTTGGTGGGGCTTTGTTTACATTAAAAACAGACAACAATAAGCGGAAACGGCAAAATCCGGAAATTTAGGAGGGGGTGTGATATCACTTTTCTAGGGGGTGTGATATCACTTTCAAGGGGATGTGATATCACTCCAAGGGGTGTTATATCACCCGGGCTGATATCAACTTGTGGACATTTTAGACTTATCACATATACAAAAAAGGTGTTATTATTAGTAAACATATGATAATGTTTTTTATTACATACTTTCTACTAAATACGGGTTTTTTGATTATGCGATATGACACAATTGCTCTAACCTATATCAGCCCTCGCCATATCAGCCCGCAAAATCAGTATCACACCCCTTTTGAAAAAAAATCGTATTTCAAAAGAAAAACAGATCATAATATAAGATAGTAGCTTTTATTAGTTATTATGTAATAAACAGAATAAAACACGCCTTTTTTCGACCCTCGGGCTGATAGTCTCGGGTTGATAGTCTCCGGCTGTTAGCCTCGGGTTGATACTGGGTGTGATATGGAAAAAGGCATTCCTCATGGAATACAGAGCCCACCGATCGAAGTTCGGTAATGGCTGAACAGCAGAATCGTTAACATGTGGTTCATGATTAACGTAGCGAGTCTGATAAAACGTCGCGTGCTCGTCTGGCAAAAAATTAACCGTTTTAACTATGTTTTGTTTCATCGTCAAATATATATATGTATTCAAATCAGAAGTTGATATTCCTCTGCTTCTTTATATTACTAAGGTGTATCAAGGTACATCTTTCGTCTGATGATCAAAATGTCTTAACGTACCTGTTTATCATATTTCATTGATTTATATAAAGATAAAAAGTAGGTTTTTTATCCAGAATTTCTTTTATGATCACAACAGCCGTCTGAAATAAAACTGGACGTAGTCCTTTTTGAGATGAACCTGTTTCGAAAATTATCAGGCCTAATGTGTGATGTAGAATAAACCCTTAATTAATCAATATTGCGTGATATATGTTGATCCCGTCTTATAATTTACAATTATGGATTATATAGAGGTTACATAACGAGTCGTTGGTGAATATGGTATTTATTTCAATTCTTTATTATACATAGCTGGAATAGTAGCCGAGCTTTGTTCAAGGAATAACAATTATCAAAATATCCAATACCGAGTCTCAACTGATTTATTAGTTAGAAAAACAGTCCTGAAAACTCATACACTTGTAGGTATATACCAGAATTCAGGACATGCCCTTATTTTCATTACATTTGATATGGCTGATCTGATATTTTAGTACATTTGTGGGAGGAAAGGATGGTATTCAAAATATTCTGTTACTTAGGGTGTCAGTTCCATAAAAATGCTACATTTTATAATTCCATTTAAAATTTCCGTGTGTTTACGGCAAATGTAAACAGGTCCCCTTATATACACCTTGTCACCTTGATCATCGCAATAAACACCTGAATAATGTTCGTATGTACGTAATGTATATAGGTTACATTCAATGCACTGCAAGTAATAATATATGTTACGGAAGCCGAGAGGTACCATGTGAAGTATATCATGTAACGACTGTACTTTTGCCTACCTGCTATAGTCTGTGTATTGATAAATAACTTGGTTATTTGTCTACTACATTTATTATCATAATCAACCTGTATAGTAAATGTCTTTTAGTTACAAGTTATCTAATTATGATACCATTTAATATTGCCTCAATTGAAACAGTTCGTGTTTACAAGTTTAGAATCATCGAGTCGGTGATGTGTTTACATCAGTCGTGCGCTATATTTAGAATCATGCTCTCACATGGACTCGCATGTTTCTGTTCCTTACGGCTGAAATAATCACTTACCGACTCGTAGATACAACAGCCTAGTATGTTGAGAACATTCTCTTTATAGGTTGTAATGTTGTCACTCATGATTTGTTGTATTTTGGTTGTAATCCATGTTTATGCTATGCGAAGCCTGTTAAACAGACGACTCATCCGCCATTGCAGATGTGCGTTCGGAGCTCTCGGGCTTTAGTGAGTTATTTAGTTATAGTGTTCTGTGCCGAGAGCCCCGAATATACTAAATTCTGATTGGTCAGAAGTTTTGGAGAAGGGTATAAAAGTTGGATCCCGCGGCAGATTCAACGGAGTTCGCCCATGATCTCCTAACCAAGCGGCCAGGCTTTCATACCCTCCTATACAGTCCAAGCAACCAAGCTCATCACCAGTGTCCAGCTAAACACCAGAACCATGGAGGTTACTACTACCGTAGTGACTAAGTAGGCCTACCGTCTCCCGTCTCCAATACACTATATATAGATACAAGTCTCTTTAATGACCTTATGTTATGATACGCCAAGAATAACACCAAAATATATTCTAAGTCCGCCTAACCACGGGTGTGATACTTAGCTATTTTGTACTAGTATAGTTTACTTAGACATACATTAATGTTCATTATTTATGAAAGGTCTTAGATAAAACATTTTCTAATATTAAAACCTACTTCGGTACATCCACGTCCGAAGTTGTTACAATATATTAAGGATACTTAGCCCTTACTATTGTTTAAGTATCCATTAAGGATACTTACTCATCACTTTTATTTATAACGGCACTCCGTCGTTATTCTCACTTTCTATTATATATTAATTAAGGATGCCATTGTGTACAGTGTTTGAAGATATGAAGTTGGGATTTGAATAAATATCAAAGTTAAATTGTATTTCTGTCTCGAGTTGTTGTTGGAGTAGAGTAGTTAACAGAACAACCAAAGGAGCCAAGAGCCAGGACCAGACGGATCCAAGATGGAGTGACCAGAATATACCTTTGATCAAAAAGTATACACTAACACTGGAAACACACTCCACGACGTTACAATTAGATCTCGTAGATTAATAGGGAGAAAAATGAAACGTTGGTAGCAGCTATCGGTTCCCTTGATATTTTAAAAAGTACCAAATCTTAAAGAGACATATACACCATGTACAAATAGACTTGATTCATTCTTTGATTATATTAAGAAATATTGTTTTAGCGAAATGGTAAGTTTGACAGGTTTTGAACCGAGTGAATCTTTTCAACGGCTTTGTAATATTCATACAGTTGTAGGACAAGCGGATGGCTGACAGGCTAATTCCAAAGGTTGAGATTTCTTTATCATATATCAGCTCATATATGGGAAGTACGCCTACACTGTGGTACCACAGGGTAGGCAATGGTAGACCATCTCATGTAAACCGGAATGGTCAGTTCTTTACTGTATACCAGTTCGAGCTATTTTGTCCCCAGAATAAACCGGGGACAGGTGTTTTAAATATGGTTAATAATACCATTTATAATATATGGGCTCATGTATTGTAGAAATCACACCTAGTTTACTCTATTGGTGGGTTTACATAGAGAAACCGAGACTGGCAGTGTTACC